TCAGTTCTTCCTTCATACTCCTTCCCATCTCTCATTCTCCCTATTTCTTCACATGCATATCCCTTCCCTTCATAATACTTGTCTCTTTCGTTCCAAACATGTTTCTCCCTTCCTTTCTTATTTCTTTCCAACATTCTTGCAATATATTCTAATCATCTCTCTCGCTAAACTTCTCTTCAAATCCAACCGCCCTTTTACCCGCTTCCACTCTCTTTTTCTCCCCTTTTGTTTCTTCTGTCACTATATACTCCGGCGTATACTTTTCAAATCCCAATGTCCATTTCAAGTATTTTTCTTGCACTTTCTCTATTTCTTCATATTTCCTCCATCCCCAAATCTCACTTCCGTACATAAATAGACTTTTGATCAAACCATCAAACATCATCATTCATCTCTTATAATCATGTCCAAATTTTCTCTCTCCTATTCCCCATATTATTCCTATCACTTTGTTCGCTTTCCGAACGATTTCTTGAATATGCGCTTTATCTGAGTTATTGCTCTTTAATGTATACCCTAACTACTGGAATTCTTTCACCTGTTCAATCTTCTTCCTTCTCTAAACCCACTTTTTCTTTTCCTTTCTTAATTTCTTCCTTCCCAAACACCACCATTTTTTGTTTTTTCCACATTCACTTCCAGTTCCTTTTTTTTACATACTGCTCGAAACTTTTAATCATTGTTTTCATTTCTTCTCTTTTCTTTGCCACAATCAACAAATCATCTGCGTACGCCAGCACACCACACTTTCTCTTTGCCCACTACCACCCCTCCTGTCTGTGCTTTTCTGAACATTTCATCTATATCTCCTAGATAAGCTGCAAACAATGCTGAGCTGAGTGGCCATCCCTGTCTCACTCCTCGATTTGTATAAAAACTCTCGTTCTCTATTCCATTCACGCTCACCTAACTTACTGTTTCTTCATATATTTCTTCCATTTTCATTACCAGGTACGCATCTACTCCCTTTCTCCTCAAATACTCCCACATTTTCTCTCTATTTCTGCTATCAAACGCTACTTTGAAATCTATGAACAATGCGTACATTCGTCCATCCTCTTTCCTTATTTTTCTTCCCACTAAATGCCGCAGGATGTACATATCGTTCATATTCCCTTTTACTTTCCTAAACCATGCCTGACCGTCTGGTAACATACCCTTTGCTTCTATCTCCTTTCGTAACCTCTCATCTAGTATCATTGCGTATCTCTTGTACGCCGTATTGAGCAAGGTGATCCCTCGGTAGTTCTTCACATCACTTTTTTGCCCCTTTTTAAATAATTGGATTATTATACCTTCTCTCCATTGCCGAGGAAACCTTTTTCCCTTCCAAACTCGATCTACCACTTCCCATATCCTTTCTTTCATTCCTTTTGTCCCGAACATCCACGCTTCCTTCTGGATTCGATCCCCTTCTGGTGGCCTTTCCTCTTTTCAGTCTTTCAATCTGTCTTCCTATTTCATTTTCTGTTATTTCCGAACCTCTCCACCTTTCTTCCATCGCTGTGATTCCTTTATTTATTTTGCAGCATTTTTCCTCACAACCTCCCAATAATTCCATATAGTGTCTTTTCCATTCATGTATTTTGATTTTCCTACTGACTTCAGTCTTCCTTCTCCGATCCTTGATTATATATCTCCACACTTCTTCTTCTCGTTTTTTCTTTTCTTTCTTCCCACTTTCTCCTATAATCCTCTCTTGCTTTTAAGTACTCTTCTTTCTTTCCCTTGTTATTCTTCCTTTTCCTTAATTTTTCCCTTGCTTTTCTCTTCAACTCACTACATTCTCCGTTCCACCTATTATTCCTCCCTTGCCATATGTATGTCTTTCTTTTTTCCGTAGCTTCTACAATTAGGTTGCTCAGTTCCGCTATCATAGCTTCTATATCTTCTTTCACTTCGAATTTCTTTTTTTCAAGTTTACTTCTATATCTTTGAATTCCCTCTTCATCCCATATTTTTTTCTGTTTCTTTTCTTTCGTTTCTTCTCTCTTGTTTTTCGTACTCTTGCTCTTTTCCTTTGATTTTTATTTCTAGTGGCATGTGGTCTAATTCTACACTTTCCCCCACTTTGAAACTCTCTATATCTTCCCAGGCCTCTTTGTTTACAATCCCATAGTTTATAATTGATTCTCCCCTAGCTCCTACGTCCATTCTCCTTTTTCATCTCCTTCCTTGTTTCCATTCAAAATTTCCCATCCCATTTCTTCTATTATCTTCCACAATATTTTCCCTTCTTTGTTATTTGCTCTATCTTTTGATCCTCTTTATTCTCCCTTTTCTTTATCTATTATTATTGTACCCTTATCGCCCAGTCTTGCGTTAAAATCCCCTCCTATAAGTATTTTTTCGTCTTCTTTTTCTTTTGTTTCCTTTTCTGTGTTTATCTTCGTTTCCTCCATTTTCTTCCTATAAACGGCTATTATTTGGCATCGATTGTTATCCAGCTGTATTACTTTCTTCATTAGTCCGTTTTTATTATTACTTCCCTTTTCAAATTCTTGCATTCCTTTTCGAATTCCCATTACTCTTCCCACGCTTGCTCTCTCCTTTTTCTTTTCCTTTGTCGCACCTTGACACTCCTACACATATCCTTGTGGCAGTGTCTCTTCCAATTTTTCCAGTTTTCTCTTTGTACCCATGTCTCTACTAGCCCTACCGCATCAAATTTTCCCACGTAGTCCCAGAACTCCTTTTCCTTTTTTCGAAACCCTTGGACATCCCAAACCGGTAACTTCACCACTTTTTCTTCTAATTTTGTACCAGGTTCCCTTTTTCCGATTTTCCTATCTGCATCCTTTATTCGTTTTCTTTTTCCTTTGCCTTGTTTCCTTCCATTTTTCCTACTTTTCTTCCTTTTTTTTTAGCTCTTTACTAAAAATTTTCTACCTTCTTGAGCCTGCCCTCTTCTTCATTCCATTCAACATTTCTGCCGTTACAGTTAAATTTTTATATTCCATTCTAACCATTTTTCGTTTATATTTCTCTTTTGTTGCCTCTTCTTTTCCAAAAAATGTTTCTGTCCGTTTTCGTCAGATCATCATTCATGTAAATTGACGACCCTTTTAAATTCTTTTTGCTTTTCATTGCATTTATTTTTTCTTCTCTATTTTCGAATTCCACTCATAAACTTTTTCTGCAATTTTGTACGCGCTTTTAACTTTACTCTCTACTTTGACTTTCTCTTGTAAAAATTTTGTCACCTTTTCAATTATCTGCTTCTGCTGTCTTGTTCCTATTTCCAATCCCATCATCACTGCTTTGTTTCTTCTCTTTTCGCTCTCCATTCGATCTAGTTGACTTTCTACTTCACCCAATCTCTTTCCCAATTCTTCCTTAGCTCTCTTCAATCCTTCCAATTCTTCCTGTTTATCTCTAATTTCTTGATTTTGCTCCTCTAGTTGATCTCTTGCTTGCTTTAATTCATCAGTTAGTAACATACAGCTCTTCTACCTTAAATGTGAAAAAGTGAGCAATTCCACTCATACATTTTTTCAGTGGGTCGGAAAAGCCTGCAAGCAGTCAGCGGTAAGTGTTAATATTTTACCAAAATAAACCATAATATTAGGTAGGTAGGTAGTTCATTTTATTATTATAATGTTTCTTGTTTTATTAAATGATTGTGAATAATAAGTCTCTCTCTCTCTCTCTCTCTCCGACTATTTACTTATTTTTATTGGGCAATCAAGCATAAAAAAGCCATCCACAGGTTCTTATCTTTTTTGACGTAGTTCCTTATCGAGGTATTTCTTCTACTAATATATTACTTGATATTTTAGCTACTTCAAGTGACAACTGAGAATTTTCATTAGCTAAAGTTTGAATTTTTATTATATCGAAAATTTGTTCGATTAAGTGCCGAGTATGAATTTTCAACTAAACACGTGAAGTTATATAATCAGGTCTATATATTACTGCTTCTTAAAACATGGGTTAAATAATTCCTACCTCAAAATTCATAACAGGACAAGCAAAACAACGAGTAATAACTTCAGCATATCCAAATCATAAAACACCGAATAATACATTTTTAGAATAATAGATTTTAGATAAAAAGCGACATGAAAATACATGTGACTTACTGCTTTGCAATTCAAATATTTCACTGATATTTTTAAACGAGTTAGTGCTATTCCCTGTTTTCGAATTAAAGTTAATTTGAGAACCTTTATATGTGTTTAGGTAATTTATCATTTTTGAAATTCAAAGAAAATGTCAAATTCTACATTCATCAAAATTATTTCATAATTACGATATTTTCTTTATCATAAGTTTGGAGCGTAATAAAAATAAAATAAATTCTAATGAAGTATAATTGTCGTGACACATAAAAAAGTTTACTATAAAAGTTATCGCCACTAAATTTAGTTCATTGCCACGTGTAGCACAAAGTACCGATTGCGAATGTTAGTACTTATTAGTTCAGAAACGATTTCTAATTGTGGTGCTAAAGTACTGACGCCAAATGGAAGACAAAGAAAAAGTAGATATCAAGATAGAAAAATTTATAAAACATCCAAGACAAAAATATGGCTTTGTCTCACATCTATTCTTTTGGTAAAGTTATTTTCTAAAATTCCTCTATTGTTTATATCTGTCTCTATTTTCATTAGCTGGCAGCTGCCTCTAATAGTAAAATCCTGGAAACACAAATCTTTCAGATTAAAATTCTATTCGACTCTCCAAGAATACGAGTCGAAACAACTCGGAGATAAATTAGAAAAATTGTGGGAACAGGAAGAAACTTTTCAAAAAAAACCTTCTTTGACACGGGCTTTGCTAAAATTATTCGGTGGTAGCTTTGTCTGCTACGGAATTTTATTATTTCCAACTGAGCTGAGTTTTCTGTGAGTTTTTTCGTAATCTTGTATTAAAAGAGAATATCGACTTGGGTGAGTTTTAGCGTTCTGCAGAGTTTCTCTTTAAAAAAAGTACTAGATTTTTACACTCCCAATCAAACGACGATCGATGTTCGTGAAGCTTACATTTATGCTTCCGTTATGACAATAGTACCATTATGTCGCGTTGCTGTTTTTCACTGGACCTTGATGGAATTGGGTGTTTTAGGAATGAAAGTACGGATTGCATGCTCGTCTTTAATTTATCGGAAAGCGCTAAAATTAAGACAAAGTGCTTTGGACAAAATAACAATAGGACATCTGCTTAATCTGCTATCAATTGATGTTAATACATTTGATATAGGTTTAGTTTTCATGCACTGGTTGTGGCTCGCGCCCCTTAATTTAGTCGTCGGAAGTTTGTACATCTACTTCATGTTTGGTCCTTCTGGCATTGTTGGAACGGCTGCAATAACCATTTTTGTGATTATTCAGGGTACCTATTTTTCCAAATAATTAATAGTGATCAAAAGTAATACGTTTCAGTACTTGTAACCAAGAAATTTTCGACTGCCAGAAGTGAAGCTGCCAAAAGAACTGATTACAGAATTCAGCTAATGAATGACGTAGTTCGGAGCATGCACGCTGTAAAAATTTATACATGGGAACAGCCTTTTCGAGAACTAGTAGAATCAGCTCGAAAGTAACGGTACCATAATTTTTACAGCACCAATGTTTATCTATTCATTTGTAGCTCTGAAATGGCAAAGATTTCCACTGCAAATTACGCTCGCTTAACTAAATGGATCATCAACTACTACAAAGCTAAAATAAGTATCTACTTCTCGGTACTAGCTGCAGTACTAAGTAACCAGGTTTTAACGTCGCAGTACTTCTTTTCGTTGAATCATATTTATGAAATTTTTAAAATCAACGCAGTCTTTCTTTTCGAGAATTGTACAAATAGTCTAGCGGAAATAAGAATTTCCATTCAACGAATCCAAGAGTATCTCTTATACGAACATCGGACAGTAACTAGTGTTTGCATTCTCAAATCTCGTCAAATTTTTCACCATTACCAGAAGGGAATAAACTTCGCTAACGTTTCCGTTAAATGGAATCCATCGTCGAAAGTAGTTCTACATAACGTTAACTTCAACGCATCGTTAGATGAACTGGTTGTCGTGATCGGCGCTGCTGGTAGTGGTAAATCGGCACTACTTCACACCATTCTTCAAGAAGTAGAAATAACGAAAGGAAACGTCGATGTTAGCGGTACGTTATCATACGCGTCCCAGGAACCGTGGATTTTCTCGGCCAGCATTAAGCAAAACATTCTCTTTGGGAAAGATCTTGATTCAAAGAAATACATGAAAGTCATCAAAGTCTGCGGTTTGGAGCACGATTTGCAATTGTTTTCGCATGGGGATCAAACGCTGGTAGGCGAAAGAGGTGTCATGTTGAGTGGAGGCCAAAAAGCTAGAATTAGTTTAGCGAGAGCTGTATACAGAGAAGCTGATATTTATTTATTGGATGATCCACTTTCGGCAGTTGATGTAAACGTCGCTGACCAGATATTTAAAGAATGTATTTGTGAATACTTGAAAAAGAAATGTGTGGTGTTGGTGACGCACCGACTGCAATTTGTTCGAAACGTGGATAAGGTTTACGTTGCAGACTCTGGTAGTGTTACTGAATACAAAAATAACTTGTCCGAAAATTTGGTAAAATATTTGTCGGAATCTAAAATAGAAAACCTAAATGAAAGTACAGTGTTGTGGGGTTCACATGAATTACAATCAGAAGTAGAAGAAGACGAAGGACTTGAGAGAATTAGAAGAAATATTTACATTGCTTACGCAAGGGCTGCTGGTGGTTGCTCGTTTACATTTTTCACTCTGCTACTTTTGTTTATGACCCAAGCTATAAGCAACAGCATAGATTATTTCATGTCTTTCTGGATAAATTTGGAACAAAAAAGTATTACATTGGACCCACATTTGACCCAATTTTTCAGTACATATCATTGTTTGTATATCTATGCTTGTCTTCTGGTCTTTTTGGTAATAATTGGACACTGTGCGTCTCTCCTGTTTTGCAAATATTGCAGTAAGGTGTCAAAAAATTTGCACAACGATATGTTGCTGAAAATTCTCTATGCATCTATATCATTTTTCAATAAACATGCGTCTGGAAGAATTTTGAATCGATTTACCACCGACACGAAAACCATAGACGAAATCATCCCTTACAATCTCGTGGTAGCAACAATATGCATCTTCATGATAACTGGTATCGTCTTACTCATTACTTACAGTAACTACTTGATGATTGTTCCCACGGTTATCCTTATAATAATAATCTATTTATGCAGCAAAGTCTTTCAACCGGCTAACCAAAATATGAAAAGATCAGAAGGAATCAGTAAGAAAAGAATAACCAACTTTTTGTTTATAACCAACATGAATTACTTCAGCACGCAGCTTTTTATTCTCACACCTATCTTCATCAATTCAAGGTTTACCAACGATTAGAGCTCTTGGTACGCAAGAAAAAATTATAGAAGAATTCGACCATCACCAAAATGTACACAGCACAGCTTTTTACTTATCTCGAGGACTGTTCAGTGCTTTCGGGTTTTGGATTGACATAATCTGTGTTGTGTTTAATGCTTTAGTAATATTTACTTTCTTCTTTCTGGATTTTGGTAAGTTAAGATTTTAATTATTTTCTATCTAGCAAGGATATTTCAGTGCCGTCTATTGGTAATGTTGGCTTGGCGATTTCTCTTTCGTCTTCACTGATCGAGTTAGTACAGTTCACAATGAAAAACTGGAGTCAACTTGAAGGTAACATGGTTTCAGTCGAGCGGGTACTAGAATACACGAAACTGGATCCAGAACCAGACGAAAGTAACAATGGGCTTCCTGAAAACTGGCCAAACTTTGGCAACGTGTCTTTTTCCTCCGTGTCATTAAAATACCTTCCCGATGCCCCTTTCGTGCTAAAAAATGTAACTTTCACTATCCAAGCAGGAGAAAAAGTTGGGATTATCGGTCGTACTGGCGCCGGTAAAACCTCACTCTCATCAATTCTTCTCCGTTTATTTCCTTTCGATGGAACTGTTTCAATAGACGGTGTTAACACTAAGTCGATGACTTTAAACACGCTTCGTTCTAAAGTATCCATCATACCACAAGAACCCTTTCTATTCTTAGGAACGTTACGGAAAAACATAGATCCTTTTAACGAATACCGCGATGACCAAATCTGGAAGTGCTTGGAAGAAACAGGTTTGAAAGAGATGGTTTCTAAACTAGAGAAAGGTCTCGATAGTGTGGTTTCGGAAACAGGTTCAAATTTCAGCGTCGGTGAAAAGCAGTTGTTATGTTTGGTACGCGTTATGCTCAGGAATAACAAAATCGTAGTTCTGGATGAAGCAACAGCTAACGTTGATCTGAAAACTGACGAATTGATACAAGCTAATATTAAGAAGAAATTTGGGGATTGCACCGTCTTGACGATAGCACATCGTCTCAATACGGTAAGGGATTGTGACAAAATTCTTGTTATGGAAGATGGGACGGTGGTGGAATTCGGCCGACCGCAGGAACTCTTACAAAACGCAGACGGGTTTTACTATAAGTTTTTTAACTAAGGTGGTATGAAACGTACAATCGTCTAAAGAGTTGGCACGTTGAATAATGAATGTTTTTACCCTCAAGGTTTACAAAAATTGTTATTTTACGATATGTGCATTTATCGTGTATTTCTTTGTTTAGAATTAATGTGTACGTACTTTATTGTGTAGAGATTGTTTTAGTATTAGTGAATTTAAAACGTTTGGTTAAAATTGAAGAGGAGAATCAGCGAAAGTAACAGACTTTGTAAAGTACAGAAAATACACGTTCGATACTGCTTTTGGTTTATCTTCAGCCTTGGTTTAACATGTACCTACAATATTTTGATAGTTTTACAGCACATGTCTAATAAAGCAGCTACAGTCTATAGGTTTAGCTACGTAAAAGTTATTTTAAAGTACACATATTAAAATTGTAGAACGTAATATCATATGTGTTTTTCTTCATAACAGGAAAGTGTACATGAAACCTGTACGATAGGGTACTAGAGTGGTTTCAAGATCTCATGGCGGACGAGTTTGAGCATTACTGCGCATCGGATCCGACCAAACTCAGCGGTGGGCGTAGAGGGCTATAGGGAACTGTCTGTTCCGAAAAAGTATTCACTTTTCATTAGTCGTTTCGAGCAGGTACATCTCTCAGTTGTGCGTACTAATACCTAGAAGTTTAGGTTTAGTAAACACGGTCAACGTATTTAGGATTGTGTTGCAACCGATCGCTTTAACCGAGCACTACCGACCGCCTGTACTAAACTCCGCCTCGCGCATCTCGTCCGCCACGAGATCTTGAAACCACTCTAGACGTAATTGATAGAACCAATTAATCATGTCAAAGTTGCACACCAGCGACTGTAGAATGAACTGTAGCTGTACTATTCAACTTTGTGGAAATTCATATACACGTTAAAACTATTCAGAAGGGGAGAGATTTTTACTATAAACAACTGGAAAAAATCTTCCAGAAACACTGAAAAGTTGCCAAGAGGAAAAATTGTTAATATTGTCCAAAAGTAAGTCTTTGAGGACCATATACTAGTATTTTTTACTCTATGTGTGTTCCGTTGTTAAGGTGTAACGCATAACTGAGTTTCTTCACATCGAATACGATATATATTTGTACATATTCTGATTGAGATTTAGTTAGGCTTTATAACTACAGCTTATTTTTTTAAATTCTGATACGATGTTGGCATGTTAATCCAATTGTCTCGAAATTTTTTTAGCAATTACATTATTTTATGAAGAGGTGAACGTGCTTTGTTGTGGTATAAACAGAATTGAGTTTTAATGTACAGTGTTTACAACAAAAATAAATTTTTACAATTTTCAACTATCGATATTTCAGTTTTTTCAAATATAGCACCAGTGTTGGGGACAGATACTTTCAAAATTATCTTGATACAGATTGTTGTCAATGTTTTTCAATCTAAGTAAATGTATATACACCCCTGAGCAATTTGACCGGTTATCCTTGGACGAGATGGTCAATACTTTCAATGAATAGATTGATAATGCTTCGAAAATAATTACTGATAAGTGATAAGACATCTATAAAGAACAACGTGAGCTGGTGGACACAATAACTTAAGGCATTAAGAAAACAAGCACATAAGACAAGGAAATAATACCAAAAGTTAAGACGTAGTGGAAACATCGGGGAGGAAGTTGATGACGAAAACGAACGAATTGTGGAAGCGAGAGAACAATGGAAGTTTGCAAATAGAACACATAAAAAGAAGGTTATTGAAGCCAAAAGAACACACTGGCAAGATTATGTCACATCATTGACTAAAGAAAAAAATTATCCCTGAGGCGATGTTTATAAACTCAAAAAACAAAAGAAGTCCAACAGACTATATGATGGTTGAGGTAAGCGGAAGTGTTGCCAGCTCCTGGAAGGAAGATCTTGAAGCCTTACTCAATACATTCTTTGGTCCCGAAGTAGATATGTTTTACGATGAGGAAGTTGTGGTAACATGATAATAGAGAGACATTTCTTGTGAATGTGATACATGATTTGTTCAAGAAATGTCTAAATAAGATGAAGAGTCGAAAATCTCCTGGACTTGATGGCCTGACTGGTGCTACAATAAAGAAGATTTGTAGCTTCTGAATACGTAACCAAGATTATATTCCCTGAACAATGGAAAGTCGTCATTATTCATAAATCTCCAGACAAGCCTAAGAGGTCACTTAGGTCACACAGTCCAATTTGCTTGCTATCGGGGTGGTCAAGATTTTAGAGAGACTCATGATAGAAAGGTTAGCTGATGAACAATGATCGAGTGTCAGACAAACAATATGGGTTTACTGTTGGGAAATCTATGCAGGACGCTTGGCTGGATGTATTAAACAATGAAAACTCTATCTTTAAATACGTATTAAGTATCTTCATTGATTTTGTAGGGGCCTTTGATAGCATAACTTGGAGCGATATACTTCGAGAATTAGATTTTGTAAAGACGAGAGATTCTAAGCTTTGGAAGTCATATTTTAGTAATCCGTAATCCTAAAAGGGAAAGCTCAGAAATATTGCCGTAAGGTAACGCAGGGATCTCCACAGGACTCCATATGTGGGCCTTTCATATGGAATCTGGTCATGAAAGACCTTCTGGTTTTCCTTACAGAAGTCGGGGCAAAATTTATGGCGTACGCTGATGATTTTCTGATTTTAGTATAGGGCAATAATAGGAAAGGCACCGAAGAGAGAGGTTCTGTCATGATGGATATTGTTTGACATTTTGGGGATAGACTACGGCAAGAATGAGTTTTCTGCCTTACTTTAATAATTTAAGACTGCGATTAGCAAACATAACGGTACAATGTAAGAGAGCATTACGAAAAAAATGGGGTCATTCCCTAATCATGATTACATCATGGTGGAACGGAATGTTCTCTGCACTCGCTTTGTACAGCGGTGCTGCGTGGATGGGAGAACTTAGAAAATCGACAATAAGAGACGCCATAGACAGGTGTGAGAGAGTAGCAGTGCCCTACCGGGTCGCCGTACCGTCCCCACGCGATTTCCAGCTTCAAGGTCGCCGCCCCCAGGTCCAGGAGAAGCCCGTCTTGAAGGACGTCGCCGCCCAGGAGGGAACGACTGTGCCGGACGTCTTATTCTTTTTCTTCATTTTGTAAATTTGTTTCGTAATTGTTTTAAGTTAAGATTAGCCGTAAGATGTGTTATTTTAGCCGTATAGCTGGTGGCAGGGAATAAACCCGTTTTGTTGTTTACAATTTCTAGCCGTTTTATTTTATTCTCGTGTTTTCGTGGGCGCTCACCACCTGAGATCCGTGTCTCCGGCTTGAGAGCAACCCCGACACTTGCTCTCCCGGAGACGGAGCTGGCGCCCGAGCGACCGGTGCGCCTGACCGAAGGCGCCACACCCGGCGACGTGAAGGTCGCCGAATAAGCCTAGGTCGGCCAGACGACTTTATCAGCGGCAGTACTCAGCCCAAGGCTTGGCACTCAGCTACGCCGCCACCACACGTTATCGGCGGGATGCCGGACCGTCCCACAGAAATTTCGTCGCACCAAAAAACAAACCATCTGTAAGATTTCTAAGCATTCGGTTTTGCAGAATCAGAATTAAATAATTGTAAATTGTTGTTTCATAATTTGGATCTTTTTCTCAAAAATCTGGATGGTTCGGGTAAAAACTAGAGATGTACCGACTGTAGGTCTGGCCGACTAACCGACTAGCCGATTGTTCGGCCAGTAAAAACCGACTTAGTCGGCCGACTGTTCGGCTTTGCTAAAACCGGTTTATAAATGCGACAGACAGTGTGTTTTTTTTCTATTTCTCTGACTACCTTAAAAATTTGTTTTATTTTAATAAAAAGAATAATTAAAGTTCCTTTCTTTTCCAAAAAATGTATTAAATTTGTTTAGATAATTTTAATATTTAATTTTTTGTAGTAATTCAGTACAAAAATAAAGAATAACACAATTTAGGGCCAGTTTATACAATATTTTAACTGAGATTAAGTTGATCGCGCATTTAACAAGGCCATTAGCGACGTCTGATTGGCGTAGAGTCGATCACATGGTACTTTAACGCGGTGTTAAAATCGCAATTAAATATTTAATTGAGGTTCTGTAAACCGGGTTTAATTGTTTTATACACTATTTTTATTTTAATAAAAATAGCCGACCGATCGGCTGTTTAGCTGACCAGTCGCCGACTGCCAGCCGACGATGAAAAACGGCCATTCGGCGAATATTCAGTCGGCTTATCCGACCGATCGGCCAGTAGTCGGTACATCCCTAGTAAAAACTCATCACGAAATCGTAAACTACAAGCTATGGTATTTTATACAATTTAAAATCCATGTACTATGTACCATTTTGATGTGACGTCATCACAGGGTTTTTATGAATGATTAGATAAATTTTGGTTAGCGTTTTACCATCTAAATAAAAATCCGTGACGGTAGACACAAGGACAGACGGACAGACAGACAGACGGAAACCGGAGACATATTTCTTCCTACTATAGGGGCCATGAAAGGTCGAGGAAACGTAAAAGTAGAGAATCGGTCGACAGACTCGATTACAATACTCCATTCGCTTACGCTGTGGAAGTAAAAATTGATTGGCCACCATATAATCCGGATCTAAATCTGATCGAACATTATGGAAATTTCAAAATATTCCGTTTTTTCCGCGAGTGGAGATTTGAAGTGAAACATGTGGTTAATGTATCACCGTAATGTCGCTATTGTGTTCTGGAAACTTAAATTATAATAAAAAATGATTGCCATCTTTTTAAGGCTGTCCTTCCATTCAGAAATATTGCAACAAATATACAGATACTATATAATCCCAGCAGAACAAAAAAACTTTTTTTCTTAAGTTATGAACGATCTTGGTTGACATTAGATCGATTAAAGCAAATATTTCCCAAAAATTATTTTCAATCCTCAAGAACAAGAGTTTTTCGCAATATTACCAACCGATCTCAAGAATTCATTGCAGTCGAATGAAAATAACTCTTGTAAACCTTGTTCACCTTCGC